GAGAAGGTATAAGAAGACAATGTCACTGGATTTAGCCAAAGTTTTGAAATTATCAAACATGACTTCAGTCTTCATTAGCATCGTGAATAATTTGTGTCCTGTTCAAGCCTGAATGGCCCATAAAGCCATTTGTTAGATCTATGTGTATAAGACAGAGTCGTGTTCGATGCTCAGAGGACAGCTGGTGTCGCCCATTATGACGCAGAAGCAGCTGGGACTTCTGGTGGCGAGCAAAGTTGCTAATTAAAAATTAAATACCAGAAAACTGGCTACAAGTGGTTGAGATGTGGATTATCATGTGACATATATTCATCCGGGTAAAAACCTTTACCAAACCAGCCGATTAAAAATTACAATGGCATATAATACAGTATTTAGATTTTTGTACGTAGACTTTCTGCTGGTTCTTTTGAATTTTATTGACAAAAGTTCAAAAGTCATGCACATTTAGCAGAGGTTTCTGACAAAAGTGAATAGTGAGAAGATACCAAAAATATAACCAAATTAACCTTAATTGTTGCTAAATCTAGATAAAACTGTCCAAAGATCATTAATAGTTACAGATATCTTTAATTTCACAGGAGAGATTACAGTACCTGGAGTGATGCAGTGGTAGGATTGCTGGTTTTCCTGCAGGAGGTATTAAATTAATTTCCATTTGTTCCCTCACCCTGTGTTGGACAGTGTAAAATGGTAAAAGCACAAGCAAAGAAAAAACTGTTAACAGAAAAAACAAAATAAAATAAAAATAAGTAATTTTAACACAATTATTATACACTGCCTCAAACCAGTTTCAATGTCACAATGATAGAGCTAAAAATAAATGATGGTGAAATACATACATTTGTATGTAATTTAGAGTCAATTACCTCACTCCTGATTGTGAGTCTCATCTGCATCGGTGAGTGGAAGCACTTGTGTGATGAGTTTACTGTGTTCAGACAGGGGTTCGTTTGGGAAACACTTGAATTTCGTTTTGCTGTGAAAACAAGTGAAAATAAATAAACGACATGCACTCTGATCTTAGTGTTGTCAGTTTACTTACTCCTGTTTTTGTTTGTTTTTATGGCAGTGCCATTTCACAGAAAGCACAGAAATAAACAGTGGCAAGACAAGGCATTTGTCACAATGACTTCTGTAGAAAAGACTCATTGATCAGACTCTTTGATGCCAAGCAGTTTAATCTCATTTTTGACCACTCTGTCTGTTGAAAAGACTGGAGAGAAAAATTGATATGATATTGAGCTCATGCACAAAAGAAGATTAGATTAAGAAAGAGCCAGACATGCAGACAGCGATACGAACAGAGAACAAAACAAAAAATAAATACGTATAAAAAAGTGGAATTTGACCATTAAAAAGCCTTGGTTTGTACAAAAGCAAACGATGTTGTGTAAAAATACTGCATGGCTTTTAAAATATTCTAAAGCCAAGGACTGTGCACACTGGCCACGCATCATAAATGCTGTGAAAGTCTTTTATTGACTCGAAGAGAACAGAGATATTTGCATCTGTAAATCAATGAAAAACAGTGAAAACATGAAAATGAGTATTTAAAGACATGAGTTTAACATGAAACATGAAATTTGCCTAAGCTGTGCAGATGTTGATGATGTTTTGCTTGTATTGTGTGAAGAGAATGGATTATATGACTGCTGTGAACACTGTTTGCAGTTGCTGGATTAATGATGCCTGTGTAAACGTACCAGAGTTGATCTACACGTCCTGCCGTAGCTGTGCAGTCACGAGCCAGGCTTGATATGTGTGTTATCTGCAGAAACACAGGCAAAATGGCCAGTTTTCAGAGCAACAGTCTACTTTAGTATTGTAAAAATGTCAGATGGATATATTAGTTTGTAATCCTGACACATGTGCTGTATGAGGTTCGTGTCATCAGCGTGACACCGTTGGGCAAACAGCACAAACAGCTGCATGATCATTTTGTCTCTTTTCTCAGATGCTCCGCAGCCATACGACTGGCTCAGCTGGTGGTCGGCTTAAATGGTTTGGGCAGCAATCACACAGATGTGGAACAAAGCAATACACACCAGGAATGAAGTCTGGCAGTGCCCTGCTTCAGATTCACAGCCTGCTGTTGCGGTGGAGCCATCCACCCAGCAAATGTGTCCCCCTACCTAATTAAGTTGAAAAGGTGGAGTGAAGGGGTCATTAAGCACTTATTTATTTGGCCAGTCACTGGTACAGAACACCAATCGTATTCCTCTCGCCGGGTCATATAATTGGTCTGAACAGTGATAAGCTTATTGCCATGCAGACTGATGGGCAAGGGCACTTGGGGGTGCTGTAAATTGTGCCCAGAGTGTGGTACACAAACTTTGGTCATTATATCCACGGCAGGGAACAGTGCTGATGAATACCCGTGTTGACCTCAAAACTGCCGACGGCATTCTGTGCTGCTGCCGTTGAAGTTGGCTCACACGTAACACTTTATTGCTGGAAATGAAAAGAGGAAAGGTGTTCTGTGAGAAGTGGTTGCACCAAGTGTGATTACATCACAAAAAAGAAAAAAAGCGGAGAGGATTCAATTTGGAAGGAGTGTATCACACTGCCATGGTGGCCCTTGTGCTTGTCAGAGATTGGGAGAGAGGAGCGTTAATCACGCAACACAACTCTCTTCTCCTGGGCTCCTGGCTTTGGCTGTTTGAGCATTCTGCAAACTGAAATACAGTCTGTGTCAGAGAAAAGGTCAATGACTTTGTTAGGAGGCTCTGGGACCACGCGAAGCATTTGCTCTTTGTTTGACAAACACAGCCTCAAAGACACCGGTCTGCCTCCGCACTGAAAATAATCAGCAGGAGTCTGAGGTCAGGACAATCTCACGGAACACAATGGGAAAGATAGAGATAAAACATTTTTTCTAGAAATGTGTTTCGGTAGAATGTTTATGTTAAAGATATAAAATCCAGTTGTTTATCTAAACAAAACCATAAAACCATGGACATTCGATGTTATTAAATCGGATAAAATGTAAGGCAATCCTGAAGTTAATTTTTGTGATGAAACATATATGGGAAAATGACTTGATAAATAGGCAAAACTTCAACTCAATATTTAGCTTCATAGTTTCAACAGCTTCATAGCCATCTCTGTGGCACAATTGGTTAGCGTGTTTGTTTGTAAACTGAGCAACTGCTGGTTGTAGCCCACACAGGGACGACATTCAGACTGCTGTAGTGCCCCAGTGTGGGATCAATAAAGTTCAACATAATAATAATAATAATAATAATAATAATAATAATAATAATAATAATAATAATAATGTCCCTTATTTGTCCTACAATGGGGAAATTCACAGTGTGAGTAACACAATGGAACCATAAAAAATAGTGTGAGTCTTTGCTTTTCTAGAAATGTGTTTCGGTAGAATGTTTATGTTAAAGATATAAAATCCAGTTGTTTATCTAAACAAACCATTAAAACCATGGACATTCGATGTTGTAGAGTTGGTGGATATTCATCTTGACAGTTTCATAAGTTGTTTTAAAAACTTCCATGAAGCTGATCCAGGAAATTCTATACTACATGTAGCTCAGTCAGATATGATAATATTTGTATAATTCATACATTAAAGTTGGAATATAATGTGCACTGTTGAACAAAACAACTTGAATTACTAGCCATTGTTACATGTTATCTGAATAAATTACATATAGAAAACTAGAGTCTACAGTTGCTGTGGATCCACATTGCCCTTAAGTAATTAGCATTTGAAGTAAATGGTATATTTCATTGTAAATATATTTCACTAAAAACAGCCTCATTGGCCACAGTTATACAGCATGCATTAATGTCAAAAGACTTGGGCTTTGCCCTGAAGTTGTAAAGCTCACAAAACATGGTGCGTTTTGCAAGCTCCCCGGGAGGCACAAACAAAACACACTGTGCCTACTACTGCCGGCCTGAGGTTTCTGCAGCAGTGTATTGGCTTTGAATTTTTCAAAAGAGCAGTAAAACAAGAAGAAACTTTCAGTTCAGCGTGCTAAACTCTAGTTTCCTCCTGAGAAATGCGGTTGTCCTGCTCTGTTACGGATCTCAAATACCTTGAGAAAAGATGGATTTAAATGTAAAACAATCAGTAATAGGTGTACAGTCACTAACAAAGCCCCTGATCAAGTCACCCATTCTCTGAGCTGCTGTAAATCTGTGAAGTGTTATTTTTCTGATACAGTCACATTCACAATCTTCCACTTCATTTATAATCACTTGGCCAAACACAGATATGCTATGCTAATGTTTACATGAAGGCCCAAGGCCAGATACAGCCAATGAAACTTTGGATTAAAACCATTTAAACCATGAGGAATAATAACAACAACACTCCGAACCCCAGCTTAAATGCTATTAACTATGGAATTTGCTTGTTCTCCACTTATATCGCAGATATTCCTTCAAAATCATGCAGGAGTTTCACTCTAAACAGGCCATGGGTGTGATTGCGAGTGTGAATGGCTGTTCACACGTCATTGTATGGTCAACTCGTCATTTTGATTTTTCCATCCTTAACACGGGTAATAAATACGGATTTAATGATTTAAAAATCAATACATTTAGTGAATTTACACTTTCTTTAGAATTTAGTGAAATATTGTTATAATTTTTATTTAATAAGTGGTTAAAATTCTACGGGCCCTTTGGGTTTCACCACATTATTAAAGTAAATCTTTGATGCACATGCATGAAAAAGAGAAACTAATGACAGTAATTTGCTCGCACGTAGAAGTGGAGCAATCAATTCTCCAAGGTGGAGGTGCAGAGATGAGAGAGCCGTCAGCTCTGCTGATATTTAAAGCAGGTCAAGTGGCATCGATCATGGACTTCCACGGAGACGCTGAACTGTCATCGATAAGACAGATTAGACTCTCAGTGCCAATGTGCACATGTTTCTCCGCTGCCTATCATGTCCTGTCTGCAGCATGAACTCACTTTCCCAGGAGAGTCCTTTGTGGATCCTGTTACATGAGCTGCTCACTTAAGAAACTGGAGCATCTGATAAAAACTACTTGCATGGTGAGGATGGAGTATGTTCCCTAATATTTAAGCTTTTTTTTTTTTTTTATAAAAGTAAGTTTCTGTTTTCTTTACTGCCTTGATGCTAAGGCTGCCTGCTGTGACCTTTTGTAAATGCCTCAGGGGCTTTTCTTGGCAGAAAAATAAAAGATCAATTGAAGCTTCTTCGTATTTGCAACTAAAATAGGACCCTTGTTAAATTTAGTACATTTACTAAATGTACTAAATGGGGGGGGGGGGGGGGGGGGGGGATGCTAGTCGAGCTCTGTCTGCTAATGAGGTGGCGATCTGTCGTACTGTATTGAATACTTGGGCAGTTAATTTCAGTGTTCTCCTCAGCTACGGTATCTGTGGAGGAGCACTCCGTCTGAGGATGTTTTGGACTGTTGTTCTAGAGAGCATTGAAGATGGCTGAACATTTTAAGCTGGATGTAGGCAGCTGAAGGAAAATGTAAATGACCACTGTCAAGGAAAATGTGTTTGAGTTGGGCATCACTAAATCTCACTGATTCTAATGAGTTGTCTGCTGCAGCTGAAGTTGAATTAATCACTGTATTAAGCTTTGAGCAGCCCAAAGAGATGGTAAACATGGGGAGAAACTGATTAAAAAAAGATGTTTTTGTGTTTTGTATTATTTATTTATTTCATTTTGATAAGAGTCCCTGGTGGGAAGATTGTGACGATGTCTCTTAATTTTGTTATAGTTTAAGAGCCAAGCTGTGACAAATAATATAATACTACAATTTTCAATGACATTTAATTAAACGGGGTTTTTTCCTGCGTCCACTAAACGACATTAATTCCGTTTCTTTTACCTAATTATTCACTGTGTGATGTTCAGCTCATGGCCAGCAGATGTCAGGAGTATTCCTTTAAAGTCTGCTCCTTCCTGAAAGCCCTGAGATCACATTAATGTCATAAAGCTTGTTTCCTTGAACAATTTATATGTAAATGTAGATGTAGTACAGGCAAAACACAGGGGTACATTTTTTTTCTTATTTTTTCTCCCCCTGAACGCCGTCAGCTGTGTAAATAACTCATTTAAATGTGTAGGCTTTAAAATATATAAATAAAAATACAAGAATGTACATGTGTTTGAACGCTTGTGAAGACAGACTGTGGTAATTTATTAATTCATGGAGAATGTGTGCGGAACAAAGTTCTCGCACAGAACATACAGCTGCAACTGTTTATCAGAGCCGGTGGCAGATGAGACAAATGAATCGTTGACGGAGGAACAGTGCGGAGATAAACGGGAAAGCGACTGGAAGGAGACACTGACACAGACGGACGGACGGACGCACTTACAACGCAATCAGACAGAACGGAGCACTGGGGCAAACATGAGCTCATGTACTGCACTGGCTAAGGACACGGTTTTACAGATGAAAGTAGAAACAACGCAAATAACCCCCACTCGTTGCAGTTGCCATGACGACCAACCACCTGAACTTGGATGTAGGTCCCAGGAGAAGTCTGCAGGAGGTAGAGTTTGGACACGAGCAGTATGTGTGTGCGAGTGTGCGTGCACGTGTGTTCTGGTTTTACGGTTTTCCAAGTTCTCTACGTATCTTTTCATTACACAAAAGTCCTGCCAGTGAAGAGGCTCCAGAGGGAGTTTCAATTTTAATAAGCAATCAAAAATAGCACACCTCTGCCTTTCTCATGAAAATGACTTGTACTTTTTGTCACAGGGCATTGGTGTTGGTTGGGCAATTTAAATGTGCATCATGTCAAATTTAA